CATAGAAAAAGCCACAGTACTGTATTTTACACAACTGTATTAATGAAGTTAAAAAAACTATATATTCCCAGACCTTAAAGGGATAGTTCACCCAAAATTCCAAACCTGTATGCTGTATTCTGTGGAACACAAAAGAAGATATTTTGAAAAATGTCTCAGTATTTTTTTGTCCATAGAATTCAGTGGGATCTAACGTTGGTTTGGACCCTGTTGAATTTCATTGTATGAAAAAAACAAACAAACAAACAGTTGACACATTCTTTAAAATATCTTCTTTTGTGTTCCACAGAAAAGAACAAGTCATACAGGTTTGAAATGGCATGAAGGTGAGTAAATTATGACAGAATTTTAATTTGGATGATCTCTTTAATTGTACAATTCTGCATGAGTCAGCTCATTATGATGATCCTATTTAGGAATATTAATATTTGGAAAACCAAAACAAAGCTTTTTACTGAAAGCACATGACCAAACCTCCTGTTTCATAGTCAAATAGTTACGGACCTATTTGCACTGGGTGATTTTCAGTCTAATTCTTTAAACCAAAGAAAGATGCATATTGACAAAAATAAAATATAAGTGTAGCCATAATTTCTTAATGTGCTCAAATAAATCAGATCAGTTTAGTCATTGGATCAGTAGAGCTGCAATACATTATAAATGGATTACCTTAACTACTGTGTGTGTCGCAGTAAAAACAGTGTCCTCTGTACTGCTGTCCTGTTTTCACAAATATGCATGTCATGATTTTGAAGGTAGACTTCTATTGTCGCTGAAGTAGGTGGAGTTTCTGTTTATGTGGCCTCCCTTTGCTGCAAACATTTTAGGATTACGGAAAATTTGGACCCAGAAACTACCAGGTCCTTACTGGCAATGACTTGAAAACACGACAAAAGCGAAGCATGTTGATTCTTTTCCTTGATGTCTCAGATGGCCGTGGTTATTTACACAAATTCCTTCCAAATGTAGATTCTAGTAAAATTCCACCACATTTGAACTTCCGTGTGAAAGGTGCATGTATGACCTGTTTTTTCGTCATTTCTGATTATATCATATATGTAAATTAATAATATCACATCCCTCTATAACTTTTAGTACATTTTAAGGCCAATTAATTTGAGAGTATATTTAAAATGTTAAATACTAGTCCATAATACTATCCTCACAGACATTAGATGAGATTAATTATTGGGACATTGAGATTCATCAAGGGTCTTAGATGAGTGATAATGAGTGCCTTGATTTTACGTCTTATAAGTAAACCATAAACCATTTTTTTTATTATGTGTTTTTTTGTTCTGTCACTGTCATTCTGTTACACTGTGGAAGCTTCTGTCACGAAAACAAATTCCTCGTATGTGTAAACATACCTGGCAATAAAGCTCATTCTGATTCTGATTCATAAGAAACAGCTTGCACTATGACAATAAACCAAAGATTAATTGATCACTCTCAGTCAGAATCAGCTTATACTGTACCTACAACATACAGTGTGCACAAGTAGATTGCATGTTTGTTTTATTTGAGTGTTTTTTTCTGGGGATGTGTTTAACTTGAGGAACTAAGATCTAAAAATGCCAATACATTTCTGCACTGCATTTGCAAAAGTGACTAAAGTGTTGTCACACAACAGTGTATACGGTACATGTACTCTTAATGAGACGAGAAATAATATTGTTAGATGTGTATTTAATTATTCTTTTCAAAATACACATTTCTTTACTCAGTGTTCGAACTATACCGTGGACTTTGGGGAAGCCCACTTGTTTTTTTTTATAGCGGGGGGGCGGGGTTCGTGCCTCAAAAGGGGCTTACAATGAATTACAAATGGCGCTTTTCCACTGCGTGGTACGACTCGGCTCGGTACGGCACGGCTCGGTTTGCGGTTCCACTGCAGTTTAGTATCGCTTTAGAGTGGGCGGGATTATTCACATGTCATTATAGTTGCGCCGCCTCTACTGCCGCGACTCCTGAAAAACTTTTTCATTCCGCGTCGCCCCATCAAGCTCTCACTGGATCCGCTCCTCTGCTATCAACGAGAGCAAAGTCTGTACTTCCTCAACAGGGGGAACAGCCACTTTTTGGTTGTTAAAAAAAGTGCGCTCGTTCAAAACAGTTGCGTTCGATCCTTCGCTGGCTGTGCTGATTTAAATCTAGCGGTTCTTTTGTGTTTGTGTCGCAAGTTCAGTGACGACGAATCTTTGAGTTAACGTGTACTAAACATGAGTGGAATTTGCACCGCAGCGCCCCCACACCTTGATGCTCATGACAAGAATAGCATGTATAGTTATCTTTATTGAAGTGAATTAGGTTTAAATCACCGTCATGCATGAATGAATTAATATTTTTGCAATTTTACACATAATAATCCACGATGATGACATTACACAAAACTGAAATTACACGTCAAAATAACACATTGTCAATATTTTTTGAGACCCCTCAAAATTTCACAAATCACGTTTTCAGGGGAGCCCATGTCTTATTAAGGGGAGCCGAGCTCCCCCTAGCTCCCCCGTAGTTCGCACCCTGTCTTTACTGACAGCAAAAGACAGTAACTCATTTTCAACAACTCAGTGCAGTTTTATAAATCACCACTAGAGAGACCTATTCACTGTAGACCCATGGAGGCCTATAACACCTGATGTGAGCTCTCTGTTTACTCTTCTCCATAAAAAACAAAACAAAAAAAAAAACACTAGAGATCAGTCATCAGACGAAAGATGACCGCTCTCCTCTGGTATGCTAAAAATGCATCCTTATACTGTAAGGCCAGGGTGATCAGCGCAATCAATCAAGACTAGTCAGGCAAGACTGGACTAATGCAGCTTGGATGGGTGATAAGCTGGACAATGAAAATCTAATTATGGTTATAATATGATTAGTATGATATAAACAAAAATATGCAGGAGGAAAATATGTGGAAGAAATGACTGGTAATCGTGATAATGTTGAGTGCTAAAAATTACAGTGGACAATCAGTTCTATCTTAGGGCAAGGGGGGATTTCCAAAAACTTTCTGACACCACTGACGGGAGCAATGAGTGAGAATGAGGAAACACCTTTTTGTATTATGAATCATCTTACTAAGCATGTACATTTTTCACGAATCCAGAGTGACACAAAAGTTTAGGAATGGTATGATTTTTAAATGTTTTTGAAAGAAGTCTCTTTTGCTCACTAAGCCTGCATTTATTTGGTCTAAACAGAGTATAAACAGTAATATTGTAGAATATCAAACAATTCTATCCACTCTAAAAAAAAAAACTCTAAAAAATGCTGGGTTGTTTCAACCCAACTTTGGGTCAAATATGGACTAACCCAGCTGTTGGGTTAAATTTTTTAATTACATTTTTAACCCAAAAGTTGGGTTAGTCCATATTTGGACTAACTCTGGTTGATCGTGTCAAAACATAGAGCCATGCTCTTTACGCCCTACGCCACTAAGCCTGTTGTGAATTATGCATCTTTAGTCATATTGCCTATGCCAGCCAGACATTAGTGGGAAGATATAGTGTAAATAGCCTCTGCCAACATGGTGAGCTATTTGCCCTATTAGCTATTTGCAATGCGCATGGGCCCATCGGATAATCTGGCCATGGTGACTGCAAATAAATGTAAAATGAATGCTGAAAATGTATTAGCATTAGCAACATATTATTTGTCAAGATTTGTGTATTTTACTAACCTCAATTTCTATGGATAAATGAAAGATTGGTTGTTTAAATTAAGTTGCTTTTATATCATAATAGAAGTAGGTGATTTTTCAGCCCATGATTCATCAGAGCTTTGAGAAGGGCACTGAAATGCTTTTGAAGCTGGTCTATAGTATGGAATGAAAACGTCTCTAGGTTACGTATGTAACCATGGTTCCCTGAGGGAACGAGACGCTGCGTCGAAGTCGCTTTGGGAATGCCCTTGCGTGACCGCGTTACTGCTTTGCTAGGAATGCATCTCCAACAGGGGTAACTTTAACATGATACTGTAGATTAGCCCATTATAATATCTTTACTCATGTGTATCAAACATTAACTCATGTTTTCCTGAATGAATCACCAGCTGCATAAATCTAATCTCACTGCAAAAGTGTGAACATAATATAAAACCAAATTATTTAAATTTATACAAATATTTCAGAATGCATTTTTTTTGTTTACATTTTGCCTTCCAGTAAAGTTTTTTGGATAAAGTCAGAAAAATCCTGTCCAACCTGTTTTCTCCAATTAGAAATAACCTACTGCGATAGAAAAGGTTTCTGCAGACCCATTGCCATGTCTGACACAGAGCAAGGCAAGTTTAATCTAGAAATCTCATAGATGAATAAATGGTTCAACTTCCAATTTTCTCTAAATTGGACATTTATACATGGCTGTAAAATGCATCTGATGTTCTGTATAAAGAGATATAGATATAGTATAGAGCTTGTTATAGTTTACATTTCTTAGATCGTCTTTGCTGTTAAATTGGATGCTGTCGCTTCTATGCTAAATTATATATGAAATGCAAGTGTTGTCTTACTGCATGCCAGTGACCATTGTTCTGCAGAATTTAGCTCCATTCCTAATCAAACAACTAAAAGAATCTAACCTAAGTCCTCAGGATTTCTTTCTTTCGCCTTTCATAGGTGTCCTCTGTAACATGACCATTTCATGATAGTAGTGCGGAGCTAGACATCTTTTGTTCTTGGCCATGATGGGAAGAGACGTTTCTAGTCAGCAACATCTTATTGTTCATCTTGAATTTCAGCGTTTCAAAATGCACTTGTAAAAAAATCTGTTGTCTTGTGCTTTTTACAGAATGCGGAAAAACTGGTTTCATTCAGAGCCAATGTGGTTGTTTAGAAGGTAGGTACAAGTCTTTGTTCTTGGCTGTGATGGGAAGGGTAGGTGGAGTTTCTGGTTAGATCCATAAGTTCTAAATTCTAAACTTATTATATATATATATATATATATATATATATAACAGGGTAGCAAACAACAACATCTGAGTTAATCTATTCATCATGAGTTTGGCTGTAGACACAATAGAGGGAGTTATGAGGTATAACCAATGGATGTGAGTGATTAATTGTATTTTATTCAATTAATGTATTTTGTGCATTAATGTGCATTTTTTTTAAATCACATGCACACAGCAAAATACAAAAAAGGCAGAAACAGTTAAATTTTAAAGTTTAGTAAGACTTCACAGTGTAACAATGTGCAAGATGCATGCTTTTCTAAAGCATAATTCATTTATATTTTAAGCAGGCTATACTTACTGTTGTTCAGAAATCTTCATGTTGGGTGACAAACATTTAAACCAATGCATAATGATTGGGAGCAGTGTGTCACTGGTTACATGCATTGCAAAACAAATAAAGAATACACAATGACAGAAATGTTTTATGTACATACATAATACATAAAATGCTCATACTGTTCAAAACAAGTGCTGCTTTAAAGGGGTGCTATTATGCTCTTTACAAAGTCTTGATTTTGTTTTGGGGGTGTACTAATAGGACCCCTTTAAAATATATGAACAGTTAAACAGTGTAAAACTAGTTTTTCACTGTGGAGTAACTCATACTTGTTATGAAGTAATACTTGACTCTTGTTCTTCAAACAAATAAATATAGTACCCACTATCACTCATGTAATTTAATGTACATGTGGCATTTTTTAAATACATATTTAGATGATTAATGTACATGCAATAGAGTGTAAGGTAATTTAGATAACCGGATTGCCTCTTCTGTTACTCAGTAGCGCCTTGTTTTCCTCCTGTATGAGCAAATTACCCTTTGAACTAAAATTAGACATGTGTACAACATTTCTAAAATTTTGATGGCGATGAGAGAATTTGCATTAGATTTTGTTTCATGTCCTCAGTGTGGCGGCCAGGGTTCAGAAAGAGGCCTGGGTACCGCTGAACTAGGAGTTTTGCCTGCAAGTAATTTCAGTAACTTTATTTATAGGTCTCTGAATACAGTGATGGAAAAAAAAGACTATTCTTTTACTGTGATTTATCATCTTACCTCGTCCTTGCTTAGTCTTTTTAAGCATTTCTGAATATCTTGTACTGTGTCTGTGGCCAGGATCTGATCCCCCCTTGAGTCCTGAATCTGACGACACCGAGACACACTGGAGAAGATGATACATTGTAAGTAGTTAATTTCTACTCATATTAACATTAATTCTAGTAAAGACCTGTCATTAATTATCTGTTGTAGAGTTGTACCATGGTTTGCCTTCTTCCTGTGTCAAGATCAGACTGTTTTTCAGCTCGTTTTGACTAACGCAGATCTCCTTCTCACCATATGTGTGTGTTTCACTACAAAGCAGGAAAAATACAAATGCCACATTTATCATAACCACACTGCTAAATATATGTGAGGATTTTAATTAGGAAAGGATAGAATTTTACTCAACGACTGACACATTGATACACTCAATAGTTGTTTTCTATAAGACAGAAGCACCCTGCTAATGGTATTTCCAGTAGTGAAATAAAGGATGTAACCACATATTTAAGATTAGTGCGGACCACTAATAATAATTAGAACATTTAAGTATCAGCCACTAAAAAAACCTGTATCGATCAACAACTAGTCAGAATATGGTGGTTACAGCCCTGTTTGAAATGATAAAAATCACCTGTTGTCCAACTCGGTAGAGGCACACTTTCCACTGAAGCTGATTGATTGATTAGAATGATTGTGGTCTTCACTGAGGTAAAAAAAAATCAGATAGTCAAACAGAGATGGTGTCAGTCCTAAGTGTATTAAGCAGAAGAATGCACTAGTAGCTTTTCCACAACTGTCACACTCTAAAAAATGCTGGGTTAAATACAGCCCAGTGCTGGGTAAAATAGGGACAAACCCAGCAATTGGGCTGTTTTGACCCAGTGGTTGGGTTAAATGTTTAACCCAACTTTCTGGGTAGTAACCCAACCACTGGGTCAAAACAACCCAATTGCTGGGTTTGTCCCTATTTTACCCAGCACTGGGTTGTATTTAACCCAGCATTTTTTAGAGTGCATGATCTTGGTAAAACTGACATATGAATACAGAGAATTGTCTGTTGCTAAAATTTTACCATTTGATTTGATTGTTTAATTTGAACAAAGGTCAAACCACCATATACCACATCCTTTTTTAGATATCTCGCATCTCTCAGGTATGATAAAACCTTGCCAAATATTTGCTTTCATTTTAACAGTCATCGAAAACCATACCTGGTCAGCAAGAAGGAAATACTGAAATTCTCTAAACAGCAAAATAGACTGCTAATCGATGCTAAGAAAAGAAACAGTGTTGTTTTGTAGTGTTTAAATATAAAAAAATCACATATATGTTGCATCTAGGCCATGAAGTGGAAGGAACTTAGTGAACACGCATTAAAATGTGGCAAACAGTAACACACTGACAACTCGTATATTTATCATATCTTGCATAACTGACACAATAGTGCAATCTCATGAGGTAAATAACAGTGAATCGAAGACTTCAAAATTACTTTTTCTGTTTGCATGCAGTGTCATCCTCATGTTGGTCACCTTCCAACACCATTTGTCTAATCAGAAAAGACCACAGAACATTTAAATTAAACTGTGCCTCTGAAAATTGTGTTTTATCGACAGAGTGCATTCCACGAGGCCAGTTAAAGGGAAAAGTGCTCTCAAACACTTACACTGATCCCATGGTCATGTATTCACTGCTGTCCACTGGAGGTTCATCCTGCTTCCCGTCCTTCTCATCTTTTTCCTCAATAACTGGAATCTGCCAGATAGAGGTCTGAGTTTTATTTGTGTATTTTGTCATATGCATGTGAAAGAAACTGTGTTTAAATGTGTAAAACCTTGCGTGTTACTGGTACTAGAGGTTCGCTGAACTTGCGAGGATTTTCATAATGATCGTATTGTTGCGGAGAAGTTAATTCAAATGCTGACCATCTGCCGTCCTTTGGTTCTAAACAGTTCACAGGTACAGACTTTGATCTAAATCTCTTGTCCTGTGGAAAAAGGTAAAGCATGTGAGCATTCACAACCTCTCAAAAGATTTTGGTACACTGAATTTTTTGTTTCTTGTGATGTTAAAACTCTCTGATCAAAAAGAATAGTTTTTTTGGTTACTGCATAATTGCCATATTTCCTTTTATGTTTTTTATTATTCTCAAATGTAGGCAATGGTAGTAAGTATCGTAGGTGCTCAAGCATATGACTGATAGTTTGGATATACATATATGTAAAGATAGAGAGGGAGAGAGAAGGTTTGTTTACCTGAGTATCGTCTGTATGTCGCAGTTTATTTTGTGATTTCTGGGTCGTCATTACCTTGACTAAGGCATTGAGCCAACCATCCACTTCATCCCTGAAAACACCAGAAAACCTTTAACACTACTTTCATGGCACTATGTTGTGATGGAAATGAGAGATATGCTCAGATATGCATGGTGGCAAACCTGTTTTCTCCAATGAGGAAATATTCTCTAGCTTGTTTTGGTGTGTCGTCGTCCACCTTTAAGAACAGCACAAAGGATGGAGAACACTTGAATTGTTTCTGGATCCAGTCCCACTTCTGATGTGCCTCAGGGCTAGTGAACAGCAAGCTGATCCTTTAAAACAGAAAGACGTTCTCATTATAGTGTGAAAATACTTTATATTATTTTTGAGACAGTCTTTTCCTCACTTAGAAATGTCTATCTCTCCCAGAGGCTTGTCTCTCTTTTCGTCGTTTGCATGATATGTCAGCTGGTAGTCTTCACCCGTTTTGGAGAGCACAAAGAAACGACGCTTCCATGATTTCTGTGACAGATATATAAAACTGCTAAGTTTCACAAACAGAGGAACTGTCTTTGACAGACTGCAGATATTTCAGTTTCAGGGTGAATTGCAATATGAGACGTACAGTGGTTTTAGTCAGGGCCGTTTGAGGGGGGGACTTGAGCAGGTATCCAGTGTATAGTTCCTCCATCACTGGTTCATTGTAAAATTTTGCAGTTGCTTCTGCAGAAACATAGTTAAAGCTGATTAGCATTAAATAGTGCTCAATTCCATTTAGTCTTTAAGTTCCTTGATTATCTCACTTTTCCTAAGAGATTTTAGACTTACGTGTTTTCTTGTTGTTGGACATCCTGATGCTGTTGCTTGAGTTCTAAAATAGGTGTGAAATGTTAAAATTGTTTTACTGTAAGCCACTGACATATATCTGATAGACAGAAGTAAACAACAGTGATTTATGATTTTGTAAAATAATATTCAGTGCATTGTCAACTGTCAGCAGCACAAAGCAATTACAATGCAATGGAAATCCTCCACCGTATTTCAAGTGTATAATAATATGTTATATAATAATATTGCATTACGTCTTTTGAATATTTCAACTCAAAACTTTTCAACTTTATTTCTCAGATGAATAGTTTCAGCATTATTTCTCTACATGTTACAAGCATCACAAAGCAGAATCATCACATCAGTAGTCGTTTTCTATATTATTATTAGTTTACCTTGTGTCACGGTAAAATAATGTCCTCTGAAAGGTATTCAGTTCTCACAATGCTAGAGGCTTTTTGTTTCTTCCAGAGTGATATGCTGTAAAGATTTCTTTCTGGTTATATGTGAGCCCAGGTTTAAGATCCCTCCCCTTTGACTCTGTCATTCCTTTGGAGAAACTAGACAAACGTGTTCATGGCATTGAGGTATTGTGGAAAACATACTACAAAAATAAATTTAGCTTCTGATGCTCATGCACGATGCACGCTGCGAAACATGTACATATACAGTATACACTCATAGTCTTACACACAAGCTGGCACTTTCCCATGTATTGTTTTTATGCAGTTTTTTGCTTTTGTAGCTTTTTTATTCTCCATGCACATGCACTCTTAGGTCCCCTGGTCTTTTGGTTCCCTTGGGTTTTTTTTTTTTATTATAATTTTTTTCCTCCAGACAATAGGCAGATGACCATGTGGTGACATACCTGCTAATTTTCTATTTATGATTGCAGAGGTTTGCTGATGTCTCTTTGACCCAAATGTCTGTGTGACAGAATTTAATTCAGAGGACTCAGCTTAAAGACATTATTTGTATACTATGCACATTTGTGTACGAAATGCATGAGACACATTTTCAAGTAAGAAATGACAAAAAATGACCCTGGGATCCAACAGTCTGTGTGGAGATGGCAAAAAGATGGCAGTAAACCATTTGTCCATCTCCCAACTGCACAAATATGTTACATTGCTATTTAAAAACTAGAGACTATTTTAAAATAATTAACTCATATTGACTATTTTTAAAACAAATGATAAAAATATAAATTACAAAAATTAATACATTTCTGTAAAAGTATCTCTAATGATATTGAAAATGTATGTATATTTATAAAATATTTATCAAATAATTGTAAAAAATGTTTCAAAAGTTTAATAATACTTCACATTGTAACGGTGTGCAAATACATGTTTTTCTACAGCATAATTCATGTATAAATTACGTAGGCTAGATGATATTCAGTAATCAGCAATCTAAAGAGTGACTGAAACATTTTAATCAAATCATAATGACTAGGAGCAATACATAATTGGTTAAATGCTTTGCAAAACAAAATAGACAATGACAGAAAAGTTGTATATACACAGTATATAAAGTACCTGTAAAGTATACTGTTAGGATTGTAAAAAAAAAGTGCATCTTTATAGAGGATAAAATACATGAACAGTTTTGAACTGTGCATTTTTCAATGTGAATTAACCTTCATACTTATTATAAAGTAATACTTGACTCTTGTTCTTCACATTAACATATGTGAACTAATTTACCCACTACCACTCACAGGTTCATGTATACAGTCTAAATCTTACTAATTTCTTTCACTCAGTGACATTTTAAGGTGAGTGCATCTAACATTCACATTGTTTTACATATTTACATGATTAATGTACAGTCAAAAGAGGACAAGTTACTTTAGATAACCTGACTGCCTCTTCTGTTCTTCATTAACACCTTGTTTTCCACCTGTATTTCTAATATCTTGATGCTGCTGAATTCACATGCGATTTTGTTTCATGTCCCCGTTATGTTGGACAGGGTTCAGAGTGCAGAGGCTGGGATCCTATAAGCCGCCGAATAGTGAGTTTTACCTGCATGCAATTTCAGTAGCATTAATAATAGCTCTCTTAATGTAGTGACAAAAAAACATTCTTTTACTGTGAATCGTCATCTTACCTCATCCTTGCCTAGTCTTCTTAAGTACATCTGTATCTCTTCTACTGTGTCTATAAGCAGGTCATTGAAGGCCAGAATCTGATCCCCCTTATGGAAGAGACACGAGTCCTGAACCATCCGACAGTCAGAGACACTGGAGAGGAAAAGGATGAACACACAACAATGAGAAACATAATGCAATGTAAGTTGTTCATTTGTACTCATGTTAATGTTTTCAGAATAGGATACATATTAAACTGTAATAACTGTAATTAATTATCAGTGAGAGATATACCAGGGTTTGCCCTCTGCCTGAGTCAAGATCAGACTGTTTTTCAGATCATTTTGACTAACGCAGATCTCCTTCTCAACATGTGTGTGTGTTTCACTGCAGAATAGAAATATGCATTGATCAAATTCAAACAGATGCCACATTTGTCATGCTAAATATAGCTCTTTTATGCATAATGCACTAATAAGAAAGTTGACGTGATTCTGGTGGATTCAGCAGAAAAATGCAGTGGTAGCTGTTTCAAAAGATGCATTCAAGTCCAAATTTACCATTTATTTTCATCGTCCTCATACTGGTTGACTGCACCATTGCACACAGAGGACTCGTGACCATTAATGGAAGCGCTGAAAAAGACAACAAAAATATTGAACTTAGTGAACACATTACAATGTGTCAAACGGCAACATACACTGAGTAAATAAAATCTCACACTACTGAAACAATAGTGCATGAGGTACATAGTGAATCAAGAATTCAAAATTACTTTTTCTGCATGCATGTAGTGTCTGCCTCCTCTTGGTCAACTTCCAAAGCTCTTTGCCTAATCAGAAAAGACCACAGAAAAATACATAAATAAAAATGTAAATTAAACTCTCAAAAAATGTTATTTTATTAACAGAGTACATTTACATTCCACTAGGCCAGTTAAGGGGAAAAGTGCTCTCAAACACTTACAATGATGCCATGCGCAGATTTCTAGAATTATATTTCCAGTATATATAACTCATTTAAAAAGCTGTAAAAAGCTTAAAATGATTAAGCGACTGCTTAAAGACTCCATGAAATCAATATTTCACTTTATTTTATTTACAGATCAGGACACATGTTGAGTTAATTTCTAAATAAATGTGATGAGATGAACCACAAAAGTTAATTTTTATTTTATTTTTATTTTATTGTACTTACAAAGTCTTTTTCTTTTATTATGCTTTGGCAATATACTAAATGCTTAGTAATGCCGATAAAGCTTTGTTGACTGACTCTGAAGGCTGTTTTAAATGTGTATATTCACTACTGTATAAGCTACACTACTAACATATACATGGCTTCAATAGACATGGGCATTTTATTTATTCATTTTTTTCTGCCTGTGTCATGCTGGCTTTCATGGAACTGTCTAGTGATAGCATTGAGAAATATGGTCTAAATGATGGTGGCAAACCTGTTTTCTCCAATTAGGAAATAGTCTCTAGAGTGTTTTGGTGTGTCGTCGTCCACCTTCAAGAACAGCACAGAGGACAGAGAACACTTGAAGTTTTTCTGGATCCAGTCCCACTTCTGATGTGCCTCGGGGCCAATAAACAGCTGGCTGATCCTTTAAAACAGAAAGACGTTTTCACTATATTGTGAAAATACTTCATTCATTTATTTATGACTTTGTCAGTCTTTTCCTTACTTAGAAAGGTCTATCTCTCCCTGAGGCTTGTCTCTCCTTTTGTTGTTTACATGATATGTCAGCCGGTAGGAGTCACCCGTTTTGGAGAGCACAAAGAAACGACGCTTCCATGATTTCTGTAACAGCTATAACAGATAAAACTGCTAAGTTAAACGAACAGAGGAACTGTCTTTGAAAGACTGCAGATATTTTGATTTAAGGCTGAACTGCAATATGAGACGTACAGTGGTTTTAGTCAGGGCCGTTAGAGGGGGGGACTTGAGCAGGTATCCAGTGTATAGTTCCTCCATCATTGCTGGTTGGTTGTAATATGTTGAAGTTGCTGCTGCAGAAACATAATTGAAACAACATTAAAGACATTGATGCTGCTCAGTTTAATTTTTCAGTTGTCTTCTTGATTATCTAATTTTTCTCAAGAGATTTTTAGACTTGGTTTCTTTTTGTTGGACATCCTGATGTTGTTGCTTTAGTTCTAAAATAGATGTGAAATGTTATTTAAGTTGTTTTACTGTAAGCCACTGATATATTTGATAAACAGAAGTAAACAACAGTGATTTCTGATTTTGTAAAAAATAAAAAAACATGCAATGCCAGCACAAGACCAATTAAAATATTTCAAATATATAATACTTTATGTAATAACATTGCATGATGTCTTTATGAATGTTTTAAACTAATTCTAATATTCACATGAATAGTATCAGCATTATTTCTATACATGTTACAAGCATCACAAGCAGAATCATCATATCAGTAGCCATACTCTATAATAGTATTGCCTTACCTTGTGTCACCGTAAGAAGTTATTCAGCTCTCACAAGGTGTATGTTATGATGGCAGTTTAGGAGGAATCTAGAGGCCTTTTGTCTCTTTCAGAGTGTTATGCTGGTAAAAGGAGGAGTTTCTGGTTATATGTGAGCTCAGGTTTAGGATCCTTCCCCTTTGATTGTGTCTGTTATTTGTTTGTGGAAACTACCAGACAAACGTGTTCATGGCATTGTGGTATTGTGGTAAACTCGATACTACAAAAATAAATGTAGCTTCTGAAGCACATGCAGTAAGCAGTGACTGAAACATGTACACATATACACTCATAGTCTTATACATATTCTGGCACTTTCCCATTTTAGTTAACTTTAACAATTATAGTTATTTATGCAGTTTGAAGCTCTTGGTTCCCCTTAGGAATGCAAGAGGTGACTTAAGTTACCGTGCCAAAAAATTGAATTATAGTTATTTATGCAGTTTGAAGCTCTTGGTTCCCCTTAGGAATGCAAGAGGTGACTTAAGTTACCGTGCCAAAAAATTATTCTTTCTTTCTCTGTGTGCTGCTTGGGATTGTAGGAGGAAATATTGACTGAGGGATTTCAGTAAATACTCTTATGATACTGTCTTTCCTCCACCGTTTTTCTTGTGTTTTTTCCCCCCAAGTATAACATGCTCTTGGCAGGGTGAAGTGGGGTTGGGAGTGATTGGGATTGTGTCTCCAAGGGTTAAATAAATGTGTGGTAGTCTACAGAGTCTATAACAAATAATTTTCATGACAAATAAATGTCATAGAAAATGTCAGAACACAAAAAAAAGATTTTATAGTGATAAAATATTTTTAGTGTGATAGACTGATTAGTGTACATGAAGGTCAAGTACGTGTAAATGGGAATATGTTTCATTGTTGCACTTTGTTTGTTCCAGACCTAAAAATACATGCGAACTTCTGCCCTGACACTATTTTTCATCTTGCACAGAATGCACACATTCAGATAATTATTTAAACATATAGATAGATTGTACAATTAAACTGAATTTGATGACAATTTGGAACACACAGAGTAAGCCAACAGTAAACCTTTATAATAAAAGGCTACATACAGTATAAAATACGCAATCAAAAGTAATACACTGCATTTGAATTAGAGTAACACATACAGTATAAAAAATAGTTATGTTAAATTTGCATTATTGCATTTACATTATTTCCTTACTTTTCACATCAAGGCAGTTTACAAAGAGAACACATTTGTTTTAAAACTTCATAGAAACATCATGCGTTTTTAAATATGTATTTAGTACATATTTTCATATGCTACAAAATTTTCTGTATACTAAGGTATTGTTCTGGTCTTTTTGAAAATAAGCTGCCTTGTTCTGAAATCACTATCTTTGCCCTGCCCATGGACTGCCCCTGTGTTCCTGTCTTGTGTGTCTTTCTCCCCATGTGCTCACTGTGACCGCCCTCGTGTTGATTGTGTTCATTGATTTCAGGTGTGTCTTGTCATTAGTTCCTCGTTATCATGTGAATTTAAGCCCCAGTCTGTTCAGTCTGTGTTTGTCAGATCTTAACGTCGTGTTCGGGTGTCTTCTCTGTTTCCAAGTTTGGATTCCCCTTAGTTCTGGATATTATTAAACCCTGCATCTCAATGTTCGTACTATCCATCCTAAATAGTATGTAAGATTAGAATAAGTGTGTCCCAAAGCATAGTATGGTGAAAAGAGTATTCTAAAAGTCCCCGTATGGTCTACTATTTCAGGTCGATTTTTGAAGTGTGGATCCGTGCACACTCTAATGGCTAATATTGCCCACAATCCATTGCGCTTTGGTGAAGGATTCTGTCCAGAACTACAAAAACGAATAAAGCACTTTAAAAAACTACAAACATGGCAGATGTGCGCGACCAGCGATTAGGTAGAGAGGCTTAGTGAAAGGGGTTTGAGTTACTAATATTCAACATTTAACCTGGCAAAAAATATTTAATGTTATCTGTGTTATATTTCATCTGCAACAGCAATGTAAAGTTTTATAAACATCCGTTTGGTCGTTAACTTTTAAATGCATCCTTATGCATAAAATATGAGCAGAGTTCTCGGCATGAAAGACCCGCGACTGGCAGATCAATGTGCTACTTCTTTTCTCTGCGCTTAACACCGCCCCCAAAGCGCACGTAGGTGAGCTATATCAGCGTGCTGCACGCTATTTCATCAGATTTCATTTCGGCGCAAAATCAGGCCCAGTCGAAACTGGACGACCGATTTTTATCTAGCCGCACCCCGTCTCAGCCCCGTAGGCCTCTCCCCTTCTTCCAAGACCTCCACCACGAGGTTTCGAGGTCTTGGAAACAACCTTTTTCGGCGCGTGTTACTAATCCCGCTGCCGCTGATTTCGCCACGGTTTCTAAAATGATGGATCACGGCTATGCGGCGATGCCGGCTGTAGAGGAGACTCTCACGGCACATCTCGCGCCGAATTCTGCTCCGTCTTGGAAGTCACGCCCTCTGTTGCCGTCCAAGCCATGTAGGATTACGTCCGCTTTAATCGGAAAATCTTACATGGCTGCTGGGCAGGCCGCGGCTACACTCCATTCTATGGGTGTTCTCCAGGCTTATCAAGCAGATTTGCTTAAGGAGCTGGACGAGGGAGAGGGCCTGACCCCAGAGGCTGTTAAAGAGCTTAGGTGAGCTACTGACTTGGCGCTTAGGGCTACCAAGCACACGGCTCTGGCAGTGGGCAGGTCCATGGCAGTTTTAGGCCCAATCCCAATTCTACCCCTTAGCCCTTCCCCTTTCCCCTACCCCTCCGTTTTGCGCGTTCACGTGAAGGGGAAGGGGTGTCTCAATTCTCTTTTGGTTGGAGGGGTAGGGGTAGGGGTAGGGGAAGGGCCAGACAGCCCTTCAAACGAAGATTTTTCGGGACCACACTTCAAACGAAGGGGTATGAATTATCTCAGCGTAAACCGGCTTCAGGGGCAACATGGCTGCCAGCGCGAACAAAAAGACACATAAATGTAAGCATTTTTGGCATTAATAAAGATTTTAACGAAAAGTAATCATTTGTTTTATGTTACTTTCAATCGTGAGTTCATATTTACGGTCATGTTACTCAAAGAAATGTTTGCAAAAAATCGCTAAAGTTTGCTAACTAACATCATATCATTATAGACTGCACGATAGTGCCACAACATATTTTCATGTCTGATCAGGGCGATAACCACCGTAGACATTGAGGAGGGGCTAGTCCCCCAATAATTAGAAATCGCTAAACCCTTTTCTCAAATATTGCCAATTCGAGAGAGAGAGAGAGAGAGAGAGATGAAAGTTGCGTGTATGCGCG